ACTCTGTCATTTGTTAAGTTGTATGAGTTCCCTATAAATTTTGGAGATTAGGCCCTTATCAGATATGACATTGGTAAATATGTTTTCCCACACAGTGGGTTTTCCTGTTGTTTTGTTGATGGTTTCTTTTGCTGTGCAGAAACTTTTTATTTTGATGTAGTCTTATTTGTTTATTTTCTCTTTAGTTTTCATTGCCCTAGGAGCTGTATCAGTGAAGACATACTAGCTTTTGAAGTTGGAGAGTGGCTGTGTTTACTATATATTTGCCTTTACCAATGAGATTTTTTCTTTCATATATTTTATTACTTCTGGTTATTGTCTTTCCTTTTGTCCTTAAATAAGACTCTTGAACATTCCTTATAGAGCCAGTTTAGTGATGATGAGCTTCTTTAGTTTTTATTTGTCCAGGAACCTCTTTATCTGTCCCTTAATTCTTAATGATAATCTTACCAGGTAAAGTATTCTCAGTTGTATGTTTTTTTCTTTCAGCACTTTAAATATATCCTGCCACTCCCCTCTGGCCTACAGAGTTTCTGCTGAGGAGTTAGCTGATAACCTTATGAGGTTGCTCTTATATGTGATATTTGTTTTTCTCTTGCTGCCTTCAATATTCTCTCTTTAACTTTTACCATTTTCATTATTATATGTTTTGGTATGGGTCCCTTTGGGTTTATCTTGTTTGGAACTCTCTGTACTTCCTGTACCTGGATGTTTGTTTCTTTCCCCAGGTTAGGAAAGTTTATAGCCATTATATTTTCAAATAAGTTTACTGCCCTTTCCCTCTCTACTTTCTGGTTCTCCTTTACTCCTTTATGTTTGTCCCAGAGATCCCTTAAACTATCCTCATTTTTAAAAATTCTTTTTTCTATTCTTATTAGGGTATTTCCACTATTCTCTCTTAAAGATTGCTAATCTATTCTTCTGTATTATCTAATTATTGTTGATTCCTTCTAGTGAGTTTTTATTTCAGCTATTGTATTATTTAGCTCTGATTGGTTCTTTTAATATCTTTTAATATTTTCTTTACTATAAGTCTTTGTTAAAGTTCTCACTGTATTCTCTATTCTTCTCCCAGGTTCAGTGAGCATCATTATAACAGTTACTTTGAATTTTTTAAATTAAAGTTATTGACATAACATTGGTTAATAACATAAATTTCAGGTATATGACACTATAATTCAATATCTGTATGCTCTACTACATGCTATTCACCCAAATTCTAGTTTTCTTCTGTTAACATGTATTTGATCTTCTTTACTCAATTCACCTCCTCCCACACCCTTTTCTTCTCTGGTAACAATCATTCTGTTGTCTGTATCTATTGATGAATGAGTTTGGTTTTGTTAGTTTACTTGTTACTTTTCATTTTATAGTCCATATCTGAGCAAAATCATAAGACTTTTGTTCTTTTTCATCTGATTTATTTCACTTAACATAGTACTCTCAGGATCCATCTGTTTTGTCACAATGGCAATATTTTATCTTTTATTGCAAATGATACTTCCAATATGGGCTAATATCCAATACAACTCAACAACTAGAAAAGAATATGATTAAAAAAGGGCAAAGGATTTGAATAGATATTTTTCCAAGGAAAACATAGAGATGGCCAACAGACATATGAAAAGATGTTCAATATTACTTGTTATTAGGGAAATAAAAGTCAAAACTACAGTGAGATATTACCACACCTGTCAAATGGCTATCATAAAAAAGACAAGAAATAGCATGTGTTAGAAAGGATACATAGTTGGTAAGAATGTAAATTGATTCAGCCACTATGGAAAAAGTACAGAATAGAACTGCCGTATGATCTAGTAATTCCTCTTCTGAGAATTTAACCCAAAAATATAAAAACACTAATTTGTAAAGATATTGTACTCCTATATTCATTGCAGCATTATTTACAATGTCCAAGACATGGAAACAACCCAAGTATTCATCAACAAATGATTGGATAAAGATGTGAGTACACACACACACACACACACACACACACACACACACACACACAATGGAAAACTAGTCAGTCATTAAAATGAATTCATTAAGTTGAATTCTCTATCAGGAAAATGACTTATCTTCATATCACTAGTGTTTTTCTCTGGCATTTTTCTTATTCTTTCCTTTGGAACATATTAGTTTGTTTGGCTTTCTGTGTTTGTTTTTATGAATGAAATGAAAGTGGCCTTGTGTAAGAGTAACCACTGTGTAGACTGCATGTGCTAGGTAGCTTTGGCAGGCTGGCTGGAGCCTATGTGGGCACAGGCAGTGCCAAGGGTGCCCTGGCAGGCTGACTGGCCAAAGCTGGGAGGGGCATGACTGAATTGGTCACTGCATGCAGCCCCAGGACCTCCAAGCAAACCTGCTGGGCAGGTTTGGAACAAGCGTGGGGAAAGGTCGTCCAGGTCCTATGGCTTTAGGGGTACCCTGTCAGGCAGCTAGTTGGGTCTGGAGTGGGCTCTGCTAGGTTGGCCCAGAGCAAACTGTGGCAGCCTTGCAGGCTGTCCCAAGTACTTGAACTAAGCTCCCACCCATGCTATCTAGGTGGAGGGGGAAGGTAGCAATAGCACTTGCTGGCCCCTCCAATTCTGGAGAATTCCTGCAGTTTCCCACCCATTTGGCAGGCATTTGGGGGGTTAGTCAATAGTTTTTGTTTTTTTATGTATAGTCTAGGTGCATTTTAAGGCATTGTTTTATTACTGTGCCCCAGGGCAGGTGAGTCTGCACATGGGTTTGCTGGTGATATCCTTTCCTACTGCAGTTTGCCCAACTGGGGTATGGTTTCTATGGTTACTGCATCTCCATCGCTCCTCCCCTTCTGTATGTAGTCCCCCTCTCATTTAATGTGCAGAAACTATTCAATCCACCTTCAGTTGTTCTTCAGGAGAAGTTGCTATATACATAGGTGTTTAAGGTATACATTATTCTGTGTGTCTGTGGGAGGTGAGTTCACAGACTTCCTACATCTCCATCTTGGGCTCCCAAGATGCTGGTCTTATTCCTTTTCTCATTGTTATATAGCTGAGATCTCCCCTCCTACTCTCATTACCAGCTAGTCTTTTCTTTTCTTCTGTGAGTGACTCGAGGGATTTTTATCCAAAACCAAATGTAAACTTAATAGCCATTTGCTATATTTACTCTCAAGCTTATTTTTCTCACGCCCATATAAAATATTAGGTAAAATCATAATGCTTAAAAACTTAAAGTCATTATAGTAAATTTTATTTCACTTTTTTGTTTAAAGCCACACACACACACACACGGTTTGGCTCAGTGGATAGAGCATCAGCCTGCGGACTGAGGGGTCCCAGGTTCGATTCCGGTTGAGGGCATGTACCTGGGTTGCGGGCACATCCCCAGTAGGGAGATGTGCAGGAGGCAGCTGATCGATGTTTCTCTCTCGTCGATGTTTCTAACTCTCTATCCTTCTCCTTTCCTCTCTGTAAAAAATCAATAAAATCTATTAAAAAAAATAAATAAATAAAATAAAGCTGGATTTTTCCTGCCTTAATTTGAAGTGAGATGGGCCTTAGATAATGCCACCATTTTATTTTTTAGATTTTCAGTCAGTTATGGCAATAGGAAGTGATTAATGACTTTTGGGCAAGGTTGGAAGATTGTAAGATTCTTCCTATAGTAGCTGTAGTAGTGAATGGTGGGGGTTTGTAATGGATAATTAGTGAGCTTAGGACTTCATGCCCCTGAGCCCCTTCCATTATAACCTTAATCCTAGAAGTATTTGTGGGTATTTAGAATACAGAATTAATAGAAACCAACTAGAAAAGTCTAGTCAAGCAATAGTCTATGGATAGACAATGGTGACAGCTGCTACAGTGATTGTAGTTTCGACAGGAAATTAGTCCCAGGAGGAAATAAATTTCCATCAGGGATAGAGTCCAAAGATAGTGAAGAATAAGACAAGTTCACATTAATATTAAAAAGATTAACATGTCTCTTTGTTCCCCGAAGCCAGTGCTAAAAGTCTACCAAGATCACATATACAAACAGTATCAACTTCCACCGACCATTTCTGGAATCATAAAACCATCAAGAAGCACTGAAGAAACTTCTGTCAAATCACCTATTCAGATTCCTCAGCTTGCAGATGTGTTGGAAAGAACACAGGTATAATATGTAAAGTCCTTAAGTGGCCATTTTAAGTCAATTTTAGTTTTATGTGGCATTGCTAACCTGCTTTGAATGCACAAGAATAGCAGCAAAATCTGTTTTATCCAGTTGCATAAAGAATTTTGGGAATGTACTATTTCTCAGTTCTTCCTATTTAAGGAAAATTTGGACAGTAGAGGAAAATCATAAAGGAAACTCTCAGCATCTGTACCATGTCTTTTGATCTCTTGCATATTAAAAGAAGACATAATATTGTTTTAACTTTTATGAAATTTTCATCATTGTTCCCCCAAAATGGCAATCTCTGAAGACCTTGGTAAAAGACAATAAAGTAGAAACTGAGCCAGATAGATAACTTTTGTAACTGGTGAGAGTTGTAGAGTGGTGAGGTTGCTTTGCAGGCAATCTATATATATAATAGCCAAGCGACCAGAACGACGGAATGACCAGAATGACTGGAACAACTGGTCGCTATGTCGAGCACTGCAGCGGCCAACTGGCCTGATCGGGGCCCCAATTGGCCCCGCCCAACCTCCTACATCCCCTCCCCCTCGCCAGCCTGACCCGATCGGCCCGGCCGGCCGGACCCCACCTGTGCATGAATTTGTGCACCGGACCTCTAGTAAGTGAACAATAGCTCTGGCGAGAAATCACCATAGTATTGCTTTAAATGAATACTTATAGATAATTCAAGAAAGGAGCAGAAATGGGTGGGAGAAAGTATGGAGGATACACACAACAATGATACTAATAGGGCCAAGATTTCCCTGAGCTTTTTGTTCAGAGGATTCTTCAAACTGATTTGTTTAACATCTCAGTACTAATTGTCTTTCAGGCATTGGGCTACAGTGCTTAAAACAGAGAGTTGGGGACTTGTCCTTAAGGACTTCAGAATCTGGAGGTGGGCAGATGGATAAGTGAACACTCAAGGTGTGATAAGAGCTTTCATTGATCATTTAATGAATAAAATGATGGAGAACTAAATAGAAGGAAAACTGCATCCAGTATCCAAGGATATGGTCAGTGGAAGGATAGCTTACCCTATGGAACTGCACTAAGCTTTGAAGAATGAGTGGAAAGTTAATGAGGCAGATAAGGTGGAAGAGTTTAGGGTTTGAAGAGCCAGCTGGAAGGAGGTCCACTGAGTTTAAGAGGAGAGAAAGTGTGTGTTTCACTGGGATGAATGGAGGAAGTTGGGAAGGAACGTTAGGTGTGAGTTATACTTTATTGTAGCTGTAACTAAGTGAAGAATTAAGTATAGAGTTAGGGGTTGAAGGGAAATGTGGAAGAAAGGGGGATGTGACATATAAAAGAAGAAGGGTCTTTATTCTAAGAGGAGGCTTATTTCTGGGGGGTATTGATTTCTCAAAATTAGTTTAGAATGGAAATGCAATAACAAGGATTTCCAGAGAGATGAAGGGAAGAAGGGAGGAAGGGAGGAGGAGGAATGTTGGAGGCTTTACTTCTGCTAATTAAGGAAGATTAACTTAACAGTTTGGTCAGGGCATCCATCACAGAGAAAGTTCCACACTTTAAGAATAAATGCTTCCTTTATTCCATCCCCCACCTCCAAAAATCTGAATTTTTGTGACTACTTAAATTGAATCACATCTTTCCACTGATTTCTTGTTTTATTGCCCTTTGCTAAACAGTGTTTCACAGATGTTGTTTTTGTTTGTTTGTTTGTTTGTTTGTTTGTATTTTACAAATGCAAGGCAAGACCCATCACTAGCAAAAAGATGATAGTTTGCTTCATTGCAACACTTACTCTAGTATGGTCATCTGGAGCTGAACCTGCAATATCTCTGAGCTATGCCTGTAATTAGAAATTGTACTCAGACAAAAATGTGTAAGGTTATTGTTGAATAAATCTTTCATTTACTAGTAGAATGCAGTAAAACTTTTAAAAGGAAATAAGGAAGAAAATCAGTGCATTTTTTGTTGAAATATCCTACATAATAAAGAGCAAGGGCGTAACGACCATTACGACCTAAGGCTCGACCAGACCGGAAGTCAGTGCTGGGTTGCTGTGGCTGAGGGTCGGCTATGCCAGGCGGGAGTCAGTCAGTCGGGGCGGGAGTCAGTCCCGGGCAGTAGTCAGTCCGGGCAGTAGTCAGTCCTGGGTCATGTAAGTGGAAACCGTAAGGAATAGAAACAAGGCAGACCTATCCCTCCACATGGGGAGATATTGGCAGAAGAATAGCAGGGAGCCAGAACTCCCACCATCGCATAACAATCATGAATACCCATCCCCCTTCCCGGACACACACACCTACAAACCTTGAGCCAAGTGGGGAGCCTGGACTTCTACTCTCTTCTTGAAATAATGAGGTGGCATCTCACCCTTCCCTTACCAGAGCAGTATCAAAGCAAAGCCAGATAACACAGGGTTGAAAAAGATCCAGAGTTTCATAATGTTCAAAATTTCTAGGTTTCAATGATCAAATTATTCATATAAAGAAGCAGAAAGATCTAAAACTGAATAAAAAAGATAATGGATACTAGCACTGAGATAGTAGAGATGACAGAGTTACTTGATAATAAGTTTAAAGCAGCCATCAAAACAATCTTTACATGAGTGATTTTGAACATCCTTAAATCACTGAAAATCACTTAAATGGGAAAAAAAGAAAGTTATGGCAAATAAATAGAAAATCTCAGCAAAGAAAATGAAGCTATAAAGAAGAACCAAATGAAAGTTATAGTACAGAAGAATATAATAACTGAAATAAATGACTCGGTGAATAGGCTCAAAGCAGAATGGATGGAACAGAGGAAACATTCAGGGAACTAGAAAATATAACAATAAAAATATCCAATGAGAATAGAAAGAATGGACTTGAAAACAACAACAGAAAAAGATCAGAACCACAGGAACCAGTGGAGTCATAACAGCAACACAAAATAAATAAATAAAAACTGTAACATTTGGAGTCCAGGAAGAAATTAAAGGAGATGGAGCTGAAAGAGTACTTGAAGAAGTAATGGCTGAAAACTCTTCCAACTGGTCAAAAGACAGAAATCATCAATTTTAAGGTGAGGAAATACAATATGAGAGAAACCCAAAGATGGCAACACCCACATCATAGTCAAACTTCTGAAAAATAAAAATAAAAACAAAGAAAAAAATCTTGAAAGTTCTGAATGACAAATAACACTGGATCTATAAGGAAAAAGTAATTCTCATGACAATAGGTTTCCCATTAGAAACCATAAATTCTAAAAATAAAAGAACTGTCAACAGAGCCTATTTCCAAATGAAAATATCCTTCAGCAATATGAGGAAAATCACGGCACCTCAGGAAAGAGAAAACACAAATGTAAACAAGAATTGATAAAGAATAATATCCAAATCTCAAAAAATAGATGGAATATATTCAATATCATCTCTCCAGGTAAACTCAAATTTGTTCCTCCATTACTTACTTACCAAGATAGCTAAAATTAAATAGGTTTATAATATTAATTATTGGCAAGTATTTGCAGGATCTGGAACTCTTATTCACTGCAGGTAGTTGTATAACTTGGTTAAAAAGGATGCAAAACTGTACCTACTAAAACTAAACATATGCCTACAGCGTGAGTCATTAAATTTGCTGCTTTTATATATCCAAGAGATATGAG